ACTGGGCAGGTGTCTGTGCTCTGCCATGGCCTTGCACAAGCTGCTTTCAGCCATATCAGCATGGTGAAGTCATCTGCAGGCAGCCTATACCAGTGCCAGCCAGGTTAGAGCTGCTGCTGAGTGCCCTCAGCATCCCTGATCCCATCTTCCCCAGAGCCATGAGCAAAAGTGACTTCTGACAGTTGTCACTTGGCAGGAGGAGGCCAGCACATCTGGAGAAAGTTTCCTGTTAGCTTGTTTTCCTGTAACAGCCCCTGCTTTCAAAGATGGTCTTTATTTTGAGCCAGAAGGGATCCCTTCAGCTGCATCTGGTGTGGCACAGCCCAGGCTGCAGAGGAGCCCTGTGGTAACTCATCCTCCCAAACCCTCCAAAACAGAAGGGCTGGGCTCTGTGCAGCACCACAGCTGACAGCAGAGAGCACAGCTCAGACCCTGCTAAAGTGGCTCTTCCACTACCCAGCTGGCAGAGAATAAGAGGGGATCATTCATTTTTCCCAACCTTCAGTGATCCCAGAGTCCAGATAAGAAGTTTTGTCTGGGGTTATGCTGACTGATTCTTGCAGCTCTGCAGAAGAAGGAGGTATCTGGGGGTGTCTTTGTTAGTGATCACTGTCATTCATATTTGCTCTCCAGGCATGGCTTTCAAAGGGAAAAAGCAAAATATTTCTTTTCCACGTGTCAACATCTTTTCTCAAGCTGCACTGGCCATTTGCAGTGACCCTCCTGAGCTTCCCAGTGGCAGGGCAGTTTGCTTGGAGATTACTCCTGCTTTTGGTTTATTTTGTTCCCCAGGACAGGTAGAAGTCCTGCTGGGATCCCCCTGCACTTGCAGAGCCTGAAGGCACCTGAAACAGCAGTTGTTTGTGTGGCTGAGTCCCTGCACAGCTCATTGCAGTCCAGTGGCAGGATCTGGCCCTTGCTGTGGCGAAAGTGTCTGTGAAATAGAGCTCACTGTGTGTCCTGTCCTTACCCCAGCTGCAATTTCCCCCATCATCCAGTATAACTCGAGTAGCATCCAGAGGAGGAGTTGCAAGGATGCCAGATGTTTGGCAGTGCCAGGTTGTGATCTTAGAAGGGGTTTCTTCCCACAAGTGCTGTGGGTAGCAAAAGCTGTGTGAGCACACCAGCTTCACCTTGCAATAGCCAGGGAGGGTGTTCCTGTTATTGTGGGGAAGGCAGACTCATCTAGGCTGGGTACAGCACCTGGGACAGGTGTGACACACACAGTGACAGTGCATCCCTGCCTTGGGACAGAGGGGAGCCATCCTCATCCCCATACTGCCAGTGGAGCACTCCCTTCCCACTGCAGGAGCTGAACTGGACAGCAGGAGCTGTCAAGGAATGGGAAACAGAGCCACTGCCACCACAGGGGAGCCAGCAAACACATTTTCATGTGGGATGCAGAAAAGGAGGCGTCTGATCCCCCCTTCTCCCCTGCACCTGCTTTCAACACACACCAGCCCCCAGCCCACCTGTCAGGGCAGAGGAGGGTGGGGTTCTTCTCCCTGCCTCCCTTCCCTTCCCCTTCCAAAAGCCATCTGGGCTTCAGACCTGCCCATGCGTCACCCTGTTCACCACTAATTGCTGCCTGGTCACCCTGCACCAGGAGCAGAGCCTGGATGGGAACAAAGCACAGTGCCCTTTTTCACTGCCAAGGCAGCCTGGCAGGGTGGGCTGGGGGCCTTGGGAGCAGGATGAGGGGAGCTAGGAGGGGATAATGGCTTCCCTAACTCCTGCTGTGCTGAGCACTGAGACAGGGACAGCAGTGTGGAAGGAGGGCAGGCATGGGTGTTGGAGTGTGTATGGCTGCTATGGCTGTCCCCAGGCACCCAGCCTGTGCAGGGGGGACCAGCATGGACAGGGGAAAGACAAGTGGCATGCAGTCCTCCCCTCAGCCTGCCGTAAGAGTCTGTCTCCATCCCATCAATGTGGCACTGGCCCTTGTGCTCATCCTGGCACTTGGGGCTGTGGGTGGGCATTCAGCAGCTCTGTAATCTTTCCAGGCAGGAATGTGGGGGTATGTGACCATGGCAGGGAATGGGATCCCAGCCCACGCTGTCCTCAGCAAGCCGTCATCTGAATTACTTAGGTTCAAGGGCTTTTTTTCATTTCTCTCTCCTCTCTCTTTCTCTCCTCTCTCTCTCTGTCTTTTATTTTTCTTTCTTCTCTTTTTATTTTTTTTTATTTTTTTTGCAATGCTAATGTCTCTGCATTGCACTGGCTACTGATCCCTCATTAATCTGGGCAGCACTTCACAGCCAGTCAGAGTGACTTTTGGCAGGTGCACAAAGGCAGGCAGCGACACACAAACCCCCACCCCAGCCAAAAAAATTACCATGCACAGCCTTCCTCCAACTTTTGTCTCTGTGTGGCGAGGACATGGATTAAGGAATTTCTCCCTCTGCCTTTGATGCTCTGTGTCCACCCGTCCCCCCACAGCCTCCTCAGTGTGTCTTCCCCCAGCTCTGTCTCTCTCTGTGCTTTCCCATTTGTGGTGGCATTTCTGTGTTGAGTCATGGGCACCCACCCGGTGGCTTTCTCCCCACCATGACAAATGCTGGATGTATCCAGCAAATGTGGCTGCCCAGCTCAGAAGTTCTGCATCCAGAGGCTCTTTGTGTAGGCAGAGATGGATGATACCATCCATGCTTTCTCTCTTTAACTGCTGCACAAAGCAGAGCTTAGGACAACATCCTCCCAGGTCCTACAAGGAAGGTGCGGGTCCTGGGGGGACATCCCCCTGCCCAGGCAAGGCACAGATTTAACCCCATGGTGCCTGTGACATCCCACCTACAAACACTCTCAGCTGCTGGTTGGTTGTGGGTGGGAAGAGGCAGGAATTGCTCCCAAGGGAAAGCTGGGAGGAATCTTGGGATGGGGAAAATGCTCCTGATGGGAAAGCGGCCTGGGCAGGTCACCAGGACCTTAGTAGGGCTGGCCTGCCTGCAGCCTGCTTGGTGCAGGTCCCAGGGAGGAGCCAGGGGTTCGGAGCATGCTGGAAGTCCTGGACAGAGTCATACACCAGCTGGATAAGCCCAGCATCTTCAGAGCTCTGTCCCCATTCTCCAATTCCAAGCCATACCCCAGCACTGAGCAAGTCAAGTCAGCAGGGCAGCTCACGCTGTGAGGTTTCATTTCATTTCATTATCATTAGGAGTTAATTTAACTTGGTTCCCTTGGCATTGCCATCCACACTGGTGGGTGCCACCAAAGAGCCCCCAAGGTCTGGGTGGCACAGAGAGCCTCACTGTGCCACTACACTGCAGGGACATGCCCTTCCTAGCACACCAGATGATTCACAACCTGGTGGGTCCCCTGCCTACCCACCCCGAGGTGCCTGGGCTCCCAGTGGAGTCAATCCTGCATCCAGATGTGCTCCACATGGGGGGCTCAGGGTGGGCGGCAGGAGCAGCTGGGATTGCAGAACCCATGGGCTCTGATGTTCTGGACAGAAGGCTGGAAGTGGGAATAGGAAAGGAAAGGCTTTCACTTGGAGCAAGAAAGCAAAAATGCCCCTCCTCCTGTAAGGAATTCCCCAGAGTGACAGTAAAAACCTGGAGGGGGCTGCAGCTTTCATGCCAAAGGGATTGCATCTGTGCTGGGCTGTCACATGTGCTGCACAGAAGGGACTGGAGAAGGGCTGGTTCTTTCTCAGGGTGAGTTCCTGCTTTTAAGGTACTCCTTAAAGCTGTGGGGTGATCTGGTGTGCACACATCCCTTGTGTGTGTACAGCCATGCTGCCAGGGCAGCCTCATCCCACAAGTGCCCAGGTACCTCCTGGGCACCCCAATGGTGCAGCCCTTCTTTCCTTCCTCCCTTTCTCCCCCCCTTCCTTCCTGACCAGGCAAAAGTTTGGATTTTCCTCCTGTCATTGAGCTGTTGGTGCTGCCCAGGGCAGTGTGATTCTGTGCCTGACCTTCTCCTGCCTGGCTGGGGAGATGTGGAGGAGCCCACATGTGTAGCGCCATGGAGCTGCCCCCACCCATGACGTGATGCTTGCCCTGCTCGAGCCCCTGGCTGGGCATGGTGCTCACAGCTGGGCTGTGTCAGTCCCACACCACCCCTCATCCTGCAGCTCTTTATCAGGCTGGGCAAGAGCCTGATATGTGTCTGGGCAAGAGATGCCCTGTGTGCCCCCCAAACCATGCACAGCAGCACAGGGGGGTACTCAAGTGGGCATCATGTTGGTTCCTTGGTCTCAGAGATGGCCTGGGGGGCAATATCCCACTCAGCCTCTCCAGATACTCCTGCCCTGGTCCCTTGGGTGCTGAGCCCTCCTCCTCTATCAGTTATGTGTGTTTGCTTACTGGGGTTGATGCCATCAGGGTGCATTTCTGCTGAGCACCTGCATCCCTCTGTCCTGGAGCCAAGGTCCAAATGGATCAGAGATCCCTCGGAAGGTTTAATGGGGTTAAACCATTGCACTTTGCAGCAAAAAGGACAGCAGGGTCTTCTACAGCTCAGACAGCAGTGACAATGGGGCGGAGGGAATGGTTTCTAGGAAGAAACCATCGATCATAACTTGATACTTGTCCAAGGGCCCAGCTGGAGAGATGCAAGCCAAAACAACGGGATGCCAGCAGGCTGGCCAGCGGTGCTGCTGGTGGGGAAGCCTCCTCCCAGCACTGGCAGCAGTGCCCTGAAAGCGCGCTGCACATCCCAGCCACTGCCTGCAATATCCAGCTCCCAGCTCTGCCCCGGCGTGTCCGAGGAGCCCGCACACACATCTGCTAGTTTCTGGTGACCTCTAGAGGAAGCTGCTCCACTCTGACGCCGTGAGTTTGGGAGTGGAACCAGGTCTTTAAACCTTTAGTGGAGCTGCAGCTGGAGCATCTCCCTCCACTTCCCTCCCTGTCCTGGGTTTGTGCCTCTGCCCACAACGCCTCAGTATTTCCACAAGTGCTGCAAAGGCCTTGTTATCATCTTTTAGCCGAGCTAAATTGCCTTACACCTCCCGGGGACCCCTCTGACTGCCCTCCTGTCCCCACTGCTGCCCTCAGGTTGAGCTGTCGGACGGGACATCGCACACCATCACGGACGCTTACGCTGGCAAGGAATACATCATCCAGGTGGCAGCCAAAGACAACGACATCGGCACGTGGAGTGACTGGAGTGTGGCTGTTCATGCCACCCCCTGGACAGAGGAGCCCAAGCATCTCACCACGGAGGCCCAGATCACAGGTAAGAGCCTCCTCCCAGTACACACAGGAGGAACACAGAACTCCGGGCTGAGGGATCTCCTCTTTGGCTCCATGCAAGTTTTGCCAACAGCCAAGAATAGCCCCAAAAAACTCCTGGAGCTGCAGCCTGCACTTTGCCCCCTCCTGTGGCCCTGTCAGCAGGTGCAACCATGGCCTGAAGGATGCTGACTCAGCTCATCTGGGTCCAGCATCCTTCTCACCAGGATACTTGGGGCAGGACAATGAGGCTAGCCACTGTATTATTGTTGTTGTTGTTGTTTTTTTGTTGTTGTTATTGTTGTTGTGGTAGTTGTTGTTGTTGTTGTTCCCTGGAGTGCTGTCTCCCTCCAACCCTCCCTCCCCTCTCCAATCCTACCCCCTCCACACCCCTGCCCCCTCACAATGGCTCAAAGGGATGCCAATTCAAAATAAAAGCCACCAAGTTAACACCAAGCCTCTGTTTCTAGGAAAGAGCTGGGACTCTGTCCAAATGGGTGTTATCAGCCCTCCGTTTCCCAGAAAGGATGGAGCAGACCCTGCACTGGTTTCCTTGGCTTCTGTGCAGAGAAACCCCCCTTTTCAAAACAGCACCTGGTAGAGCACCTGGATGTTCAGGCAGCAGCAGGGATTTACAGCCCCCACCACCATTCCCAGGTGGATAAAGCCCCACAAGGAGTGCAGGAGCACTTTGCAGCAGCGCCAGCATCAGCCTTTGGGTTTTGCTTCCATTCCCACCTGTGTTGTGCTAAATGCAAATGCCCTGTCAGTGTCACCTGCCCTGTGCAGGCACACAAGTGTCCCTCACACACACATCCCTGTGTGCCTGCTGCAGCCAGGCAGGGCTGATGTGGGACACCACAGCTCCAACGCTGAGCCCCACTGTGACACCTCAGTGGAGTCTGAAAGATGCTGAGACAAACTCTGTGGTCCCCAGCATCAGCCCAGACAGTCTGGCCTGGACATGCTGGGGCCATCTGGATGTGGCCAAAGCTGCCTCTGCCTGACTGCTCATCCAAGCACTCCCTGCAATCCTGCACCCTCTGCAGGCACAGACAATCCATCTGGTTCAGGACAAAGCAGGACAAACCTTGTGAGCCAGCCCAGCAGATGCAGCCTGCTGTGTGTGGAGTGTCCTGTGGGTGAGGAATGCTCTCAGCTGAGCACTAATGGCTCATTGTGACTTCCTAGCTAAGATTCACACAGACCTGGTGCATGGAGTAGCTCGGCTGGTCAGGATGGGGATGAGAAGGATGCCCAGCTCTGCCTGGTGGCAGAAACATCTCCAAGCAGTTGGTCCACTGTCACAGCCAGGGAGGTCTCATGGATCACACCATCCCTTGAATCATCCCAGCCCTCTACCTCAGCCCTAGTGTGGTATAGCACTGAAAAGGGCAATTTGGAGCCAGGTCCAATCCACACCAGAGCAGGGCTGCTCCTCTGGGATGAATCCCAGGGCATCCCAGCCCTCCTCACCACCTACTCTCCTTTCTTGCAGAGACAACAAGTGCTAGCACCTCCTCTTTCATGGCACCACCCACAACCAAGATCTGTGACAAGGGGGCTGTGGTGGGCAGCGGGGCCATGGCAGTGTGTTGGACAGCTGGACTGGTCGTGGCTGCTTATAGTGTCCTCTTTATTTAGTGAGTATCTCCCAAGTCTGAGGCATGAGAGGCAGGAGGTGGGTGCTGGGATGGGGCAGGGATACAGGGATATGGGATATGGGGACCCTCAGTGTTCTAATGTGGTTGGGAACTGGATGCTCTGGCCAGACTGTGGGTGAAGGGCATTGGGAACAAGTCATTTGGGTTTTTCTTGCAGTTCTGTAAATGCACCAAGTCTGACTGCTTTTCCAGATGGATATTCAGTTGGAGGTCTCAAAAATGGCTTTTCAAGCAAAGCTGGCAAAGTGGTCAGTCTTTGATGTCTTGTTCTCAGCAGCCCTCTCCCATCCTCTCTGCTGACATTTTTAAGAGGCAAAGAAGCCACATGGAAATCTAAGGCCTTTGCTTAATGATGAAAGAAAAATTGTCCGAGATCAAAAAATTCAGATTGCCTCTCAAAAATGTCCTTAATTTGGCTTAGGATGGAGCTGGCAGCCTGGAGAGCCACAAAAAACTCCTCTCCTCTACGGACTAGGGCTGCTATCTCATGGGTGTCACACCCAAATGCCCTTTCATATTACCCAAGGACAGGGATGGATCCTGGAATCAGCCACATGTGTCACTTTTGGGAGATAAAGGATAAGCCACTCCTCCTTTGGTGCCCAGAGATAAGATCCTTGTGGGCAGGGGGTTCTTTGCTCCCCTCTGACAGTGTCATCTCGTGTGTGACACCGGGAGTGGTGGTGGCATGCAGTCAGAGGAGGGTGGGCAGGGTCAGCCCTGGGAGGAGGAGGTGGAAATTTGGGTACCCGAGTACCTGCGGAAAAGAGGGAGAAAGGAAATTCTGCTGGGTGTGTCCCACGGGTGGCTGAGCAGAGCCGAGTTGGGAGCGACACCGTGACCCTTGTGCTCCCCGCTTGCAGATCTCCATCTGTCCATCCACCGCCGCCCAGCGCAGCCGCCTCCCCGCCGCCCCCGCCACCCCCGCCCCGCTCCCGGGTCGAGTCTCTTCGCTCTTCGATTTTGCACACATTGAGGACGCGCCACGCTTCTCGCCGCCGCTGCGGAGGAGGACAGAGCTTCTGCCGTCCCCTGGAGGGCCGCAAAATCCCTCTGCCGGCCCGGAGCGAGGAGACAGACGCCCGTCCGTGCCCCTTTCCTCAGCCGAGGGGAGCGAGCCGAGGGTTCCGCTCATACAGCTAAACCCCCCCACGCCAAAGACGTGCCCGCCGCCCCCGCGGCCGCGCACCGAGAAAAGGGGATATGAAAACGGGGGGGTGGTGAGGGGAATGATGCTCCAAGCTGTTGTACCCCCTTATGGCAAAAGGGGGTCCCCCAAGGACTGGACTCGCTCCCCTGAGCTCTCCACCGCGTGGCGAGGCTGGAGGGGTGCACGGATCGGGGCGGGGAGGGGGGTCGGGTCTTGGTCCCCTCCGAGGGGGTGGTGGAGGGGGAACCTGGTGGCTTTCACAAGTGCGATGGGGAGCCGGGAGCTGGCGGGGTTTTAATGGGATTAAAAAAAAAAAAAAAAAAAAAGTGAAACACCGGTAAAACCCCCCTGGCCCTTGCCGAGCACCTGGGAGAGCTGTCCCTCCACCTCCCCCTCCACAGCGCCCTGCAGGAGCCTTCGCCACCCCCAGCCTCGACCCAACATCACCCCCAAACTTTTAACTGTGTTGGATACAGGGAATCACCCCCATTGATGTCTTTGTCTCATTCTCCAACAAAAGCAGAATAGCTCTGCTGTTGCCTTTAGAGCTGGAGCCCTGCAGACCTGTGCCCCTCTGTCCCCCGCTGTCCCTGGCTGTCCCCAGCTGTCCCCATGCCTGCTCTGCTCTCCTCTCCTCCCTGAAGCCCTGTTTTGTAAAGACACCTCCTCTTGGCCCTGCCTGGACCCAAGCGCAGTATTTAATACCATACGTCCTAGTATTCCCACTGTTGACATGCTGTATTTGAATTTTTTATAGATGTATATATATAAAAAAAAGAAAAATAATCAAAAAAAAAGTAATAGAGGGGATAAAACTAAGCTCACAGAGACAACGCACACGCGCACACACACACACAAACACACACACACCAGGAGAGACTGTCTTCATTAAATGTTCATTTCATGATGACTGGCGGCTCTGGGTGTCATTTCCCTTCCATCTGGGGAGGGGGGTTTTGTCTGCCTTCTTCCATGCCTGGTGCTGGCTGAGTTGGGGAAGACATGGGAACAGCATTGAGAGGACGCACACGCACCCTGGAGCCCGCTCTGGTGTTTGAGACCATAGCACCATCGTCCCCGAGAGGTGGGAGACCAAAAACTGCCCTTCAGGACATCCTGAGAAGGTACCCAGCCTGGGGACTCCTGGTGAGGGAAAGGAGATGGTTGTCACCAGCCCATATGACACCTCTGCTGTGATGGGGAAGTGCCACATCTCCCCATTTACGAGCCCTGGAGAGTCCCCTGTGTCCCCAAGCTCTGGCTGCACCCTGACATCCCTCGGGCAGGCAGGAGGATGGAGACCTGCCTGTGCAGCCTGGAGGTGGCCTGTAGTCACAACTAATGCACTTCCCATGTCTGATTAATAATTGCATGTTAGGAAAATGTCACTGGCCCCGCTGCTCTGAATTAAACTGCTATCAGGGCAGGGCTCACAAGGACCCAGTGTGGGGGCAATGGATGCAGCCAAGAACATTGTTGGAGTCTGTCCTTTCCCCATGTGCCTTACTTGGGAGCACCACCTGGAGCAGGGGTGCCATCAAGCAATGCCCAGGGGGGAAAGCTCCACTTTTTAGAAAATTACCTCTCTGGTGCCCCAAGTAATAAGAGGGAGAAAATTACCTCTCTGGTGCGCCTCTCTGGTGCCCCTCTCTGGTGCTCCACTTTTTAGAAAATTACCTCTCCAGTGCTCCACTTTTTAGAAAATTACCTCTCTGGTGCCCCAACTAAGTCTCTACAGCAGGGAGGTGTGTGTGGCTGGCTGGTTGGCTGGATGGATGAATGGACACATGAGTGGGGTGGATGGATGGGTGAGTGGGTGGAAGGAAGGAAGGAGGGAAGGAAGGACAGAGGTGAAGGAGCCACAGCCTTGGCTCTGCAAAGCCTGAAGGCAGCACCAAGCTGGTCACTTGCTCCCACCAGGCACTTTCTGTGATTTGAACAACGTTGGAGCTCTATTTAGGGAAGAGCTCAGTCAGATGCAGACCTGTCTCTGGTTTGGCCATGCTGGCGGCAGCGCTGACTTGGTTCACTGGTTAATGTTCCATTACCAGACAACATGCCTCCGTCATTTATTAATGTTTCATTAGTGTTAAAAACATCTGGTAATTAATTATGCACTAATTATGGATTCACAGTGCTAAAAGCTGGGGTAATCTACCATAGCAGATGGCTCTTTGGGGCAGGGGGAAGGGACAGCTCTTAGCAGAGATGAAAATGTCAGGCCCAGCCCTTGCTTGGGGGAATCATCCCAGACAGACAGATCACCTTCATCTCCTCCCAGCATTTCCAAAGCTGGTCCAGAGGCATGCTGTCTCAGGTTATTAAGCAGAAGAAGCCTGTCCCTCTCAAGCTGCTTCAGGGACCAAGGGAGTGGTGCTTCCCCTGCTCAGGGCAGCTGTGTGAGAAGCCATCTGAGAGCAGTGGCTTTCACGCAGAGCCCCAGGCATCATCCAGCACCTGGTGCTGGTACTCGGCTTTCTGCCAGCTCTGGGATGCTGTTTGTCAGCCCTTTCGTGGTTCCTGGCCACGTTAAGCAGCAGTCTATAAAGCAAGGGGTGTCATAAAAGCCCACTCATTAAGTGCCCCAGGAATATTATGTACAGATGTGCAGAGATGTTTCAAACTGGGGAAGGTCCCAGGGGAGCATCCCTGCCAAGCAGAAAATCCATCCACTTAGCAGTATAAATCCATACAGGAAGAAAGAGGGAATTACAATGCTCAGAGAAACCTGTGCATCACATAACCTGAAATCCAATACATCACCCGGGTGCAATGGGTCCCTGCATCTTCCCAGCACACATGTGGCAGTAAATCCCACCTTAGGTGTTGTTTTTGGGCTGTTGCTGATGTGAGAGCAGCCTTGCACGGAGCTCCCCAAGCTCTGCAAGAGGGATCAGAATTGTGACTGGAAAGCAGGAGCTATTTCCTGGAGACTTGAAGCCTTGGAGGAAGCAGGAACTCCCCATGCTTGAGCGAGGGGCTGAACAGTGGAATGGGACTGAATGCACCTCCTGCATCCTTCCCTTAAGCAGATGCTAGCAGAGACCTCATTCTCCCTGACCCAACAGTCAGAAAATCTGCCTGCACCCACACCAGCCTCCCATCCAGAGCCTGGATCTGCCAGGGGACAAAAAACAGTTTATTTATCCCAAATCAGGCTGACAGGAATGTGTTGTGCAGCCTGTGGTGGGGTGGAGGAAGGAGGAGCAGTGGGTGGCTGTGTTGTGCGTTTCAGCTCTGGCAGAGCGTCAGTCTGGCACAGTCACAGGTGAGAAAGGGGAATGAAAGCAGGGTCAGCTGTTGAGAAAGCACACCCACAGCTGCACTGCCAGACCCGAGCTGGGAGCTTGCTGTGCTGGATGGACATTCCAGGTGGGATCTTATGAGCCAGTTGGCAGAGGAGAGCTGCTGCATATTTGCACAGTGGAAGATCTGGTCCTCCAGGGGCAGGGACCCTCCTCCATCACAAAAAATGGGAGAATGTCAGGTGAGGTGAAAGCAGCAGGAGCTGGTGGAAAGGCAGTCCCTGGAATGAAAGCATGAAAAGCAGCATCTGTGAGGGGTGAGACTGTAAACAGAGTCAGCTTGACTTGGAGAAGTCTCTCCCAGACTCTCCCAATCCCCAACTTGCAGTAGCGTCAAGTCCAGCAAATACAAGAGCCCAGCCCAAAGCACAGGGTATTCATTCAGAAGAAGCTGATGTCTCCTGTACAGAGCCTTTGTCTCCTGTGCACCGGATGCCTCTGGCAGATTATAGCCTTCCTCCCAGGGCTTTCTTCCCAAGTGGTAAGGGGTGTAGCTCAGACAAGATCCCACCATGAGGAAAGCCTCTTCTCTGACATCTTTGGTGCAGGAGTGAGCCCAGGAGCTTTGAGTTAATCAGCCACCACCACATAGAGAAGCAGATGCAGCTGCAGGTGCAGACCTTGGAGATAAAAACAGCCTTGGGTACCCTCACAATGCTGTAGGGCAGAGGTTTGTAGCAACAAGAGGTGACAGATCGTCACAGCAAACCACAAATGACAGTCTTGGACCATCTTATTTGTTGGTGGCTCCAGACAAGGACTTGATTCACCTCCAGAAGAAACTGCCTGTTGTTTGAAAAGCCTCCAAGCAGTGATGCTTTTCTTCCTCATGTCCATCCTGACTGGCTCAATGTCTGTCCTGGCACTGTGTCCCTGGTCGCCACACATTTCTGCCTGCAGCCTCATGCCCTCCCTCCCCACTAGACCTTCCCTGAAACCTCCTCACTGCCCAGATGGGCACCTCCCGCCACTGTGTTCCCATCTCCCATCACTGCCCCTGTGCTACAAGCTCCCTGCTCACCCCCAGTCTGCCCCAGCCCCCTCCCTGATCTGGGCAGGGTGACCTACGTGGATTATGTGCTCACAGCATCCCAAACCTCCCTACAGGCAGACACGGCAGCCAAGCACAGCCCACCCGGCTCATCTGCAGTGTGGAGACCAGACCACACCAGGGTCCTCTAATAAGCAATTGACTCTTTTTTTCCTCCCTTTCAAGAAAAAGCCAAGCATTAATTTGGCTTCTGCCACTCTGTTTATCTAATAGCATCGCTGATTGATTGTCTTATTTATAACCCAGATCCGGTGTCTGGGCTGCTCGTGGAGACGGAGTGATTGATGGAAAGAAGACAGCCAGAAAGGGACTTAATGGAGCCATGTGGCTGAGCAGCGCAGTAGTGGCTTAGGCATGAAATGAAAAGTGTCTCCCACAAGTCTGGGCTCCTCTCCTCCTTTCCTGCGTGGTTCCCAGGGAAGCTGCTAAGTGCTGGGAGAGAGCAGCGTGCTCCCTGCACCCTGCCAAAAGCAATCAGGGACCACTCTCAGGTCTCCTCCTGCAGCCTGGCCAAGGGGACACAGCCAACAGGGACTTGGACTGCTTCCTGAGAAGGCGTCACACAGTCTCTGGGAAGGTTTCCCCCTTCCAGGATGGAAGGGATGCTTGAAAGATAGCCTGACCCTTGCCCAGCTACCAGCCTGCTGTCAGGATGCCTGTCCTGCCAGCTGGAAATCAGGTCCCTGCACAAACACATGGTGCAGAGAGAAGCCTTCCCTAAAGGGCCCACCTGCGGGCTGGCAGCATCTTCCAGAGGTCTGTTATATCCAAAGTTCGACTGAGATAATTCTACATCCCTAGGGAGTCTCTCTTTTATCACACCCAGTGGTCACAAACCCCAGCAGAGTCACCAGCTCACATGTGAATTACCCCATGGAGCCATAAAGCACCAACAAACAGGGAAGGAGATGCAGTCCCAGGAGGTGACGTGCCATCATTCAGGGTCATGCTGTGGATGTGTGACAGCCTG